TTTTCTTTATCTGAAACTTAGTGTTTAAAAAAGAGATAATATAATGTGGCACTTGCAACACAATAAGGTCATATTCGTGCTGAAGATTAAAGAGATATTACAAGAGAGTGACACTTACACACACACACACACACACGCGCGCGCGCGCGCACACACGCACACACACACACACACACACACACACACACACACACACACACACACACACACACAAAGAAAGAGGAGGAATAAAGATGTTTGATAGAAAAGAAGGAGCAAATCATACCAGAGGACCTGCCAACCGCCAACTTATTCTGAAACTTTAAAAGTCGGGTAACAACATACATACCATTAAGTGTGCAAAGTTTGTTCCTTCGTTCTGTATGATGGTTTGAAACGTGCCAAAACATTGCCTTTGTTCTGCGCTGCGGTCGAGCATAATAATGACAATTGTGACCATTGCAGCCTCATGAAAGAGTTAACATTTGCCTCGTTGTTGTCGAGGTGTTGGATTTGAAACAAGAAGGATTCTTTGTTTTTTTGTTTTTGTAAAGTATTTTACGACGCTCGCAACTGCATAGGTCATATGAGCGCGCGGGACACACCGAATATTTTCAGTTGGTAGGAAATTTTGAATTTTGCCCGGGTGGCGGCCGAAGCCTACTCTTATCGATTTTAGACCACCAAGGGTTCTTTAACGTGCGCAACTTGCACACGGGCCCTCCGAGATTTTTCGCCCTTGTCCGAGAAGGCTAGGTGTAGATCTTTCCTACCAGAAGATCAGGGGTGTGGCAGAAAGACAGCAGTAAGGAGGAGCCAAGGAGTAGCAGTAGAAAGGCTGCAGAAAGAGTCAGGAGCCCAGAGAAGGATTCTGTTGTTAATTAATACATGTAAGCGTGGGTAGGGGCTACTGACGAAAAAAGTGAGCCCTTCTTGCTTCGTATTATTATTTTCTTGAGGGGTGGGCTCGAGTCTTTATTGTATTTGGTTTTGATTTTGATTTGTTTAGTATTTTGTCCATTCGTTTCCGCCTGTGTTTATTTTCATTTTATTTATTCATGTATTTATTTATTCATTCGTTTATTTAGCCTAAATATATTGTTTGGAGGGGTGCTGTCTGTTCTTTTTTGTGTGGGTTGTTTTGTTGTTGTTTTTGTTGTTTTTTTGTTTGTTTGTTTGTTTGTTTGTTTGTTTGTTGTTTTGTTTTTTTGGGGGGATACAATTCTAAGATCTAAAATTCAACCTTCTCATCATTACATATGACCAAAGCTCCAGTTCTAAGGACTTTTGCACTCATCCTTTATCGTCGTTAATCTTTGTTCCCTGGTTCTTAGTCAGCCAGAGAGCAAGCCTAAAAACGTTACCACATTGTGATCCAAAATATATAGTAAATAACAGAGAACTTTATTTTGTTAAAGTATATATAAAACATCGTCGTGTGTTGTATTATTCGCTCATATATTCAATATGTGTTTTTTACGTCCCCATCGACACTATTTAGATAATTTATTAAGAGACACTAGGCTTCTGACCGTGCCTGTCAGGGCCAACTCGGGCTGAGATGGATGCAACACCCCAGCATTCTCTAGGCAGACAGAGATACTCGATTTAATTATTTTATTATTTTAATGCTCTGCACGTGAATCGAGCTCAGGTCTCCTGCCAACGATAGCGTCGAGGCACCTAAACGCTACAGCATGGGCGCCGGTGATGACCATATTTTTTTTAAGTTAGTGTTTTACGGCGCTTGCTACAGCATAAGGTCAAAT